ATTTTAACTTCTAAACCACAAAACAAGCAATATACTTCCTTACCAACACACACACACCACAAGCCCTTACGAATTTAATTTACCACAGTCATGCAACCGATTACATCATAATAGGGTTTCCATAACATTCAACTGCTCAGGCTACCATAAATGAAACAACTTCGCGATAACACGAGGGGTACCCTTCTCTTTACTCTAACCCTATTTTTTTAATGTTAGTTATTGAATAATAAATGAGTATGGTAACCTTTTATGTTGATATTGCGTTTGGCGATGATTACAGATTTAAATTAAATCCATTAAAAAATGTTGATGAGGAAATGTTTACTAAAAATTTATTTCCATGTGCTAAAAATAGATTTTGTTGATGATACTCCTAGACCCAAAGATTACATTTAGGGCTATTTAAATTAAGAATAACTGATTTGTTATTCACATAAACCCAGAACCAGCGCCAGGGCTCATATGGCCACACGGAGTCGCAGAATTTAGGACCCACAGAGACTGCATCAGGTGATACAATATCTAGCGCCGGCCCTCAATAAGGCTTAAGTATATGTGAGAAAATTATATGTATATGTGAGAATTAAAGAGAAAGTATTAGCACAAAAAAAAAAAAAAAAAAAAAAAAGTAACTTTAACAACTTACATTGAGAGAAATGTTTAATAAGGTAAACAAATAAATATTAAGCTTTTTTTTTTGTAAATTTTGATATCCTTTAGATCATAAATACTTCATTATTTCATAAATCATGATTTCATATTTTTAATTTTATAATTTCTACATGCTACTAGATTTAAACTGATGATCTAATATCTAGAAAAATCCCAAATCGGGAATGACCAAGCTCCCGACGAGTCCGGATTTCGAACTTTGCACTGTATAAGTGTTTTAATGTATCACAGAATCCTTATTAAATAATTAAAATTTGTATTTTAAATTTCTAAAATATGATTTTCTTTCACATGTTTATCAATTTACTATAAATATCGATAGTTTCTAAATCTTTCTTAAAAAAAGGCACTCAAACTACCAGTAACTTTCGATATGTAACTTCTACCATTTCACCTGTAAAAAAATCGCTAAATTGTGCCAAGGTGTTTGATACGTCGGTATTTAATATAGTGTAACGTCTTAAGCTGTTTTATTGACCACCACAAAGTTCTGAGAAAAAGAATGGCCACTTCGAAAGTTCCCACGGACAGAGTACTTCTTAACGCATTTTCGGAAAGATGAAGTGACCAGCAGTCACAAAACAATCTCAAATTCTTATTCCTCTTATAGTTGTTTGAAGGGAGACATTGTTCCGTTTCCTTTCATCAGTTTATAAGCGCATTGTCTCAGACCAACCGGTTTGAGCCTCAGTTGGAACCGGAAAGTTCTCACGGAGTTTTTCCCAGGTTGTCTTCATCATACTCAGTTTTTAATCACTGGCCAATCAAGAGGCGCTTCTAAAAATTACGTACGTATGTATAATGTTAAATGAAGATCCTGGAAATTTTTCCGACATGCCCAGGACAACTTGGAACAAAATCATGGAATGCCATTCCAGAGAGAACGAGTGAGAGCAGTATATAGAGAGGAACCTTCTCTTGTGCTTTCCAGCTCTGCCAGGAGCAAATTTTGTATCGCTCTGCATAGAATGATATTAGTATCTCTGCCAAGAGATTTAGTGCGAGGTAGCTGGTTTCGCCGCTACTTTACGGAGAGCATCCTGCTCAGAACCAGTTCTGTCCGGCAACGATCAGCCAATAGAGTCGATTAATTCTAAACAGCCTCATCTTGAAGAAACCCTTATCTTGAACTATTTCCAAACAAGACCTGTCATCTTGGCTCTGTTCTAAACAGAAACTTTATTCACACCATCTGGATGTGGTTATATTATCTTTTTTTCCTCACCCTACTGTGAGAACAATATTTTATAAGTTTATTTATTTTTATTTTTCTGCATGTTGCCTAGAACCCAAATAAATTTATTTACGCTACCTCTTGCCTTTCAAATTCGTCACAATAGTATGTATAATGTTAAATGCACAATCCTTATTTAACAATCCAAATTTGAATTTAAAATTTAAGTTTCCTTTTGATATGTTGATGATATTTTACAATGAATATTGGTAGTTTGGCAATTGTTTTTGAAAAAGTCACCAATTTGTTCTTTATAAATAACTTAGTGGACAAGAAATCGGGCAATTTATGGCTGTAACTTTCTTTATCATTTACATATTAAAAAGATATGAATGAAATGTCATAAATGAAAAGAATAAATGCTTGAAAATGTGTTTTCTATAAACATGCAATTATATTCAATGGAATAACATTGGTTACTTTTCCTTTAGCTGCCCACAGATCTAGCAACCATTGATTCCGTTATAATAGCGATGGGCAAACAGTTTTCACCTGGAAGTAAACACTAATTGACATTAGCAGCACCCCATCTACAATTTTTATAATTTATTTTTCTCGGTGTCTTGTTATTAATTATTATGTGTTATTATGTCATATTATTTTTTCTTACAATATTGTGGGCAGATAAGGGAAAAGTACCTAACATTGTTCTGTTTAAAATTTTTTATTTTGAAGTTCTTTGATCTTAAATGAAAATTCTTATTTTCACTAAATTTTATTAATAATTTGTAATATATTACAGTCTGAATGAATGTTAAAGTATTATTTAAAATGCCATGATCTTTATTTTCTGAATAATTTGCGATTTTTATATTTATATCTTCTAAATATACAAGTGCTCTGAAATTTAGAAATAAATTACTTCCCTGATAGTAATTCCACACATTCTATTTTAGGAATGTATTCCCTGTAATATGAATTTGTATTGTGTTAAATATAGTAATTTAAGGCGGTTTTTAGAATATTGTTTATATGTAACTTAAACAATTAGGCTCTTCCCCATCATAGAACAACATAAGTGAAACAATTTTCTCTAGAAAGATAAGTATTTCCTGTAAAAAAAAAAAAAAAAAAAAAAAAAAAAAAAAAAAAAACACTTTCATGATTACTACTTTAAAATTAAAGTTGTGTCCCAGCTGTAGTCTTCATGCAGTTTTATATATACTACTGAGGTTATTAATTTTCATATGCTTGATGGTTGTTTCTTACTAGGATTATTTTTAGATATTTTCCTATTATTATGGCTCCCATTTTGTTAGCAGCACCAAAATTAACAGTCAGTATCAAGCCATCTTCAAATGGCCAAAGTCTTAATTGAAGCAATTTATAATTTGCTCGGCGAGAAAAGCGAGTAAATAAAGTGTTATTGTATATTCTTTTTTTATAGAAATTAAAAAAAATATTGATCATTTTAATTTTTTCATCACAAAAAGAGAGATCTGAATATTCCGCATGTCCACGTGTTTCCTTTTTTAAAAAAAAAGTGTTCAAAATATTTGATTTATCGAGAAGTAGTGATCTTTCTACTAAGAAAGAAGTATTTTACATTACCTCTTAATATGCAAGAATGCATACTGCAAATCATAAAACTGCAAATCAATTTTAAGAGGTGAAGCATGAAAAGTAATAGGAAATACAATATAAAAAATTCGGAGTGATGGAAAAGCTTACATTGGTTCAGCATTGGTTCAGTGCTTTCAGAATAATAGTTGTAACAATGCAATGAATTATTTACTTTTGGACAGAGGAGCTGATGTTCATTATATGGTGAGAGAAACAACTCTGTGTTTACAAAAATATAGCTACACTACAAAGTCCAAGATCTGAAACTGTTGTGACTTCAGCAATACTGGATTTCGGAAATTTTCAGATTTTAGATTATCAGTTTAAATCTAGTAAGATGATGTGTAGACATAACGACATTGGGGCATCACTTATTGTTTAGTTCAGATAGAAAAGTGCTAAGTATGTGTGGGATAACCATACACACATACAGGACTGCCATCTGAGCAGGCCTAGGCATCAGGAATCAGCAAAAATTTTAGAATTTAAAGAAGCACCAAGCAGGAAAAAAAAAAAAAAAAAAAAAAAAAAAAAAAAAATCAATGATGGTATAGTTTTTAGAATTTAGGAGAGGGACTGTGCAGTAGAATTCAGATGTGGGGAAATTTTTAGAAATTGGGCTCCAGGGAGTAAAATTAGGAGCTGCAGAGATTGTACTGGGTTTTGTTTATTTATTTATTGGCTAGTGGTTTGGCAGTCCTAATTTTGGACTTAGCACTGTATTGATTGGAACAATTTTATGGAAAAGGTGTGTTCTCTACATCTAATCTGGCAACTAAATAAGTTTCAAGTGACAAAATTGTAACCCAAATCTGTTTATACAGGGAATAAACAAAGCTAGTAGGGTTCTTCCATAGTACTGAATATTTGTCAGTTTATGCTGAGAAACTGGTGAATTCTCTCTTGTTCAGGTTTCAAATAGAAAGGCAACCACACACTTGCTAAAAAAAAAATTTCCACTCGTGTTTAAGATGGATAAGAGGTAAATTCTGACTGTTCGCAAGCTTATAAAACAAAACTGGTAAAGACAAGTTAAGAGATGTTTTAATGTTTAATGTTTAAATTTCATTTGGTTGATCCAACAACAACTGGTTTATACACAAAATGTTGAATATGTGGCATGCAGCCAAGTGGTGGAATAAAAATCAGTGAGTCATGGTTCGGCAGTGTCACGACTTTGCATAATTCATGTGGCAAAAATTCTTGGATGAGAAAATGCTTCTGATGCAATATTAAAAGCAATCATGAAAGCATGATGGCCATAAAGCATATGTTAGAAGTAATCATGATGATGGTCTTGGTGCCAATTAGCCATTTAGAAAGTGGGAGCCATTACTATTGTATAAGGAAGTACCTGCTTTTATATTGGATGTGTTGAATACAGCCAGACTATTAAAGTGTATGGTTTAAAGTAATAATAAAAAATTAGTGCTATTTGCTTTGTGGATGAATAATGTCATTTCTTGCATCATATTTTGATTTCATTTTCTTAAGACTAAGATTTTTTATTTATTTTTTTTTTTTCCAGAATACTGATATGCATGTGTCTTTTGAAGACCAGCAAAAAATAAATAAATTTGCATGCCAGAATGCAAGATTAGATGATATTCTTGATGAACTTAAATCAAAAGAGGTAATTAAACTTGACTTGGAATCCATGTTTAATCTATAGTTTTGATTAAATAAATTTTGTAAGTTTAATAAATAAGAATTGTGAGTATATGAAAGAGAATCATGCCAGTTTCAGTTTCAAAATTAGGCTGAATTTAACCTTCTGTTGATATTTTGTAGAAGTAATAGTGGCATCAATATAAAGCTGAATTTTATCTAATTGTAGAATTATTATTATTTTTACTAGAGCAATCATATGAATTTATTATGTTGAAACTAATGATTTTTGTTCTTTGGAACAGATGTATAAAATTATTTATTTGTGTGAAATTACTGATTTGAACATTTTTAGATACTTGGTGCAGTTGGGTGATTTTTACGGGAAAAAAAAAAAAAAATGAATTACAACTACAGAAAATTTTTTATTACACGCATGCATATTATTATGTATATATTTTATCTTTTACATAGGTATTTATCCAAAAATAAATTCATAAAACTAGTAGATTTCTAGTAGATTTTTCTTTTTTCCCTTGTTCTGGTGAACCTTTTATAGTGATTGTTTCCTTCAGTGAATTTATAGCAAAGTGCTGTATTCTTGCAGAACTTTTGTCAAAGTTTCTTTCATTGCAGGAAAAATCCATGTAGACATATTTTAAAATTGTATTTAAGGCAATATATATATAATTCTTCTATAAAAACTCTTTTAACAGAAAAACTATGTATGAAAGTGGCAGTGTTGCTTATTAAAAAGTGAAGAATTATTATGTGCATTGCTGCCTGAAATAACTGTTATGCACATGACTACAGTTTGGTACATTCTGAAAATTTGGTGACTTCTTCTTTAATGATTGTGCTAATATTAATATGAAAGTACTCGTTTCTGGAAAAGTTTTGGAAATAGGGTTCATAAAATAACTAATTTCTGTTTGATCAGTTTCTCTACCATAGATGAATAAATTTTTTGTTAATTTTAAGATTATAATATAGTTGATAAGTGTTATTGAATCTGATAAATGTTATCAAATAGAATTGCTGTCTATGCAACTCCACAATGTAGCATTCAGTACTGAGTTACCATTTAAAATATACCATATAACAGATGTTTAGTAGAATATTAAAATGGAAAATAAAAAAGACCCAATTAACTGTATGATATTTTTTGTATTACTTTTTAGAGTTAAATACAGTCAAAAGTCTTTAATCTGGGGCGATTTTGGATTATCGGTTTTTCCAGATTATGGATCATCACTTTAAATCTGGTAGGATGGCATGCAGAAGTTATAAAATTAAAAATATGAAACCGTAATTTATGAAATAAAGAGCAATTATGATCTAAAGGGTATCAAAATTTTAAAAAAAAAAAAGCTTTATATTTATTTGTTTACTTTATTAAAAATTTCTTTCAACGCGTGCATGCATAAAGCATACATTGCACATAGTCGAAATTAGAAAATTGGAACCAGAAAACTATTTGATGTGTATTCGTGATATATATAATGACGAGGAATTTGATTTAAATCATATCAAAGACAGAGTACATCGAGATGAAATACTACATTTAGTAAGGAATTATAAGCCGAATAAAATAAAAACATCTGCCCTGAAGATAAGGATAGTGCTGACAGATCAACTCCCAGTTCATTGCGCACTGCCCCCCCCTCGCAGAGCAGCGTGAACTTGATAAACATATTTCGGAATGATTAGAGAATCAAAGGATATGCCTTTATCCATTTTTTGCAGCAATTCCACTTTTTGTTTGATGAACATCGAAGCATGCTTTTGCTTCGTAGATCCTTTGACAGCTCCAGAATCGGAAATTCTTTTTGACATAATCGAATGTTCAAGTTTACTTTTATAAAATTGCTCTAACAGTCTGCAAAAAATAATAAGCCAGATCCAATTAGAAGATTAAGGAACAACGCAATCTGCAACATTAACTGAAATAGATAATTAGATAATTTTAGCTTAGCTTATACCAAAAAATCTCTAAGGAGAAGAATGAAAGCTTCCATAGACGCAATGTAAACCTGTTTCGCCTCTGCGCCGCTGTACCGAAGAGCCACGGCTATGCAGTGAAACACCAGCGCAGGGTGAAATTTAAACAGCGCAGTTCGAGGAGATAGTAAATTTTTTACTTTGAAATAACTCAAAATCTTTTATTTTCATACATTTCTGGAGTTTTATGAGCAAAAGGATGTTAGTTGGAATTTTGGGGCGAATTATAGAAATCCTGTGCCAATTTTTACTTTCATTTTTAAACAGCGAGCCGTACGAAGACAAAATTTAAATGAAATAAATTTCTTAATTCTTTTCTTTGTAAACTTAAAAAGGGGGGAAAACACATGCCATACAAAACGTAATAAATTTTTATGGATCCATAGTTAAAATTTTACAGTGAAGTTTTAAAATTAAAAGCAAAATTTGCAATAACTAACTGAAACAGAAAAACATATTTAAAGACAATTAAAGGCACCCCTAAATAAATTGAAAAAACACTGAAATACATTATAATTATCCGACAACAACTTTAAAAAAACAAATTACCATGAAAACGTTTAGACAATTATTTGGAATGACCATTGTGAAAACCAAGAGCAAAGTTTTCACCCAATAGCCAAAACCATTTCACTTACAGCATTACATTTAAAAAGTCTTTAAAAGAATTTCACATAGCTAAACCAAGAACCTCTGACTACAACAACAAAGAACGTTTTCGAACAACGTGGTAAAAGATTGCTAACATGGCCGACGGCATGCTGCATTCTTTGATGTTTCTTTGTTGCCTCCTGGTGTTATTTCTCACATGCGCAGTGAGGTACGGAGGGTGGATGGCTTTGGAATGGTTTGCCCCTTTAAAGTAAGCTTCAGGGATATACATAATGTGTCTCTTCGGTCTGATGGAGCCACATTTGCCCCGGGGAACCTTTACTTCTTCTCCTTAGAGATTCTTTGCTTATACCATCCGTTATGCATTAAACGCGCATGCGTAAACGTATTATGCGCATGTGTAGATGCATATGCGTATGACTAAAGGTATCATGCGCAGAAAGTTTGTAGCTTTGAGGTCCGGATTATATATCATTTCGGATTATGGACGTCTGGATTAAAAACTTTTGACTGTATTGTTTTTTGAATATAGTTTAATGGGTTTCCCCTTACCCTTTGAGGGGAGGCTTAAAACATCTATAATTATCATGTTCCATGTACAAAAGGGTGAGATTTAAATGTCTGAAGGAGTGGAATAGCTTAAGAAATAGAAGGTAAATAAAAGCAGAGTAGCTGTCGTGTAAACTATAATTGAAATAATTTTCAGACTAAAAATTATCATATTCAAGCAATACAATGCCTTGTTGCATATCTTATTGAAGACTAATTGATGGGTAAGAGTCAGTCTTCACTTGAGAAGGTCTATTTCTTAATAATTTCTGTACAAAAGTAGGCAAATTGGAACTGTAATCAGAACCGGATTCAGAAATGTATGTATGATGTACGTGCACTGATGTTTGTGTTCATGTATGCATGTATATATATATATGCATATATATATGTAAGAATAAATTGAGTTTAATTAAAAAATTAAATTTAAATACATATTAATTAAATATTCTTTGCGCCATTGCTGCAAGGAATGAAATTTAAAATTTAAACAAATTTAAATTCTTAACAAATACGTATAAAAGTAAAAAAAGCAAATTTAAATTCTAAAAAAAAGGAAAAAAAGCCAAAATAATTTAAAATAATTTAAAAATATGCAAACATGTAAAAGATTTAATTCTCGAACTAATCTACAATATCATTTAAATGCTTATGCTTCTGAATTTAAATGATATTGTAGATTAGTTCAAGAATTAAATCCTTTACATGTTTGCATATTTTAAAATTATTTTAAATTATTTTGGCTTTTTTCCTTTTTTTAGAATTTAAATTTGCTTTTTTACTTTTTTACTTTTATACGTATTTGTTAAGAATTTAAGTTTGTTTAAATTTATATATGTAAGTATATGTATACATACACACACATATACGCACATACATATTTACATTTCGGAATCCGGTCCTGATAACAGAAGAGTACCAGCAAGTTTAAACAGAATTCACAGTAAATGGGGAATTATGTGAATCCAGGTTATATACCTTTTAGATACGAAATTTTTTTTAGTTTTTTAGAAAATTTATATTTAGTTTTGTAACTGATATAAAGAGGTTCTATACCAATTTTGGAAAATTGGTATAGAACCTCTTTATGTCAGTTACTGGCCGATCAGATATAGAACTGTCCTCCCCCCTTTTTTTGTGCAATGCATCTATATACATTTCTGAATACAGTCCCGATAACATGAAAGTACTATTTCAGACTTAGAAATTTTAAAGCAGTGGGATTTTTTGTAATTTTATATTTTTAAAATTGTTGATATGCCAGCTTACTCACTAGTTTATCTTAGCTTATGTCATAAATATTACTTTACTTCATAGCAAATAGACAATTTGTACAAATGCATGATTGAAAGTCTGAAATAATTTTTATTGTAGCATGTTTTGTCACTAGTGATGCTTTTAAATTTAAAAGCATATTGCATGAAGTAATAATTTTCATCTGGCTAAATGCTGTGTAGTAGATCTTTTTATTCTGTGTGTCATTGTTTGACTCATTTGTGCTTAGTTGCAGAATCTGTGAAACTGATATTCTGCCATGTATATATTTCCAAAGAATGTAACTGGCTAGCTGCATAGTGTTTTCCCCATGTGTGGTATAAATATGGGCCATATTCTGTTAAGTTCTTTTGCAAAGGCACTTCTGCACTTAAGTGGATAGTTCTAAAGTGCTTTATTTAATAATTCATTGTGTATGGTATCCATTAGAAATTGATCCATTAGATACTGAAAGTATAAATGTGTCTTTTGTTATGCATTAAAATATGGTTAAATGATTTAATAAAATGTAAACATTAAGATTAGCTTTACATATGTGCCAATTTATTCACAAGTATTTTTTGCTTCTCTAACATCATATTAAAGGATTATATTGAATAATAAATAATTAGTTAACTTTAATAAAAGTACATTTGAGCTGTCTGTGTAAAAGGCTGAATAGAGGATTATCAAAGGGAAACTGATGCATAAACATATATATAAATCATAAAAACCCCATGCATTAAACTTGTTCAGTTACTGGTTTTGATAAACTACCAGTGTTTTATAAACCATTTGGCTGTTTGTTAGTTTTATATACAGTGTACTTTTGATTATCTGTGCATAGTGTTTCCACACATGTTCATTGAATGCTGTATGCAAGAATGTGTGAAAAAACAAATGTGCAAGTTCGATTATGGAGAATGGTCTTCCTATTACAGAAATGAGATTTATCTAGTTGCGAATAAGTCGAGGCAATAATTGAAGACATTTTTCAAAAAAATTGGCAATGTAAAATTCTTCAAAATTATTCATCGAGGAATGCTTCATTGGCCATTTGACAGAGTCGGGCTTTCAGTGCCAAGCAATGCAGATATCGCTTCAGATGTCAGAAGAGTGGATACTGAAAATGCAATTACATTAGTCCATAGACAACAATGATTTCTATTGAACCTATATTGAATTTCATCAACCAAAAGAGATTTCAATACAGTAGTAAAATAGCACTTTGAAAAATATGCAATCAAATTGAAAAATTTATAAATGTTTTCAAAAACAAAGTAAAATTACTGGTTTTTTTTAAGAAATTAATGCATACAATATGTATGAAAATTGATAGATTGGATTATCCATTTTTCAGTTGTCTGTGATTTTAATTTTCCAGCATTAGCCCAGATAATCGGGGGTACACTGTACTTAAAAATTTTAGATATCTTAAGATATTTTCTAAATTACATATTTTGAAATTTGAACATACAAATTGCTTAAAATGATCAAATGATTTCTTAAACAGTATTGTAGTTTTGTTAGTATTATAAGAAATACATGAATGCCTGTACTAATTAGTAAGATGTGTAACTGTACTGATGTTATGGAGTTGATATTTTAAGAAATTATTCAAATTATAGTTCCATTCTTTTAGTATTTTTGATAAATTGTTAACTGTTAGGTCTAATATTTAATATTTCTATGTCTTTATATTCTGTTTGAAACTTTTGTATCAGTTTTTTTAATTGTGTGTTCAAGACTGAACTCTGCCTTATGTGTTTCAGAATGAACAGCAAGCTCTGGAAGATGCAGAATCAGAGCTTTTACTAGCAGTAGAACAGGAGAAAATCCCATATCCTTTATTGTTCAAATGCATACAAAAGCAAATATATTTATATGCAGGGTGTTTCAGCAATTCGATTACAAACTTTCTAGAAAGATAGAGTAAATCTAAGACTATTAAATCACATAGCAGTGCATGGTCAGAAATGCTTTCTTGGCACAGTAATGATGACACAAAACACAAGAAAGAATAGACACTGCAAATTCTGATCATTTCTTAAAGCACATGAATATCACTTTTTGTAGAACACGATACACTTTTCTCCATACTCATTTGTTGATATACCCCCAGTGGTGTTTGATGCTGTGTGTAGAACTGGAGTATGATGTTTTTAGTCATGCACAGCAGTAATACATAATGTGCTTCATTGATGAAATGGCTTTGTTTTCTTTGTGTTTTTTAGATGCAAATAATGAATTATTTAGCTACTAAAAACAAACAGTTGTGAGTAAATTTAAGAATAAGTTGGGAGCAATTTGCTGTAAATCCAGTTGGTGCCAGTATGATCAAAAATCATAACTGTTGCCTAAATCAGTAGATTTGCACCTTTGTTTTTAAAAATATATAGCTTTCTTTTTAAATAACATTATTTAAATCATGCTTACATATAGCATTCAATTATTATTTTAACAGTCTATCTCTAATATGAGCAAAACTGCCAGTCTCATGTTTTATTATTGGGTAAATCTTGAGCTTCCCAGCAGTCATTTTATGACATTTAGTAAGGTAGTACATTAACTGTTACATTCACTGGGGTTTAACCATTGAAGTACAAAATAATGAGCTCTGTTAGTGCTAACAGCTCTTAATTAGCAATGTAAATCAAAGGGCAGCTAATTTTAAGTTGTCAAAGAAGCATCTGCATTATTATTACATAAACGTGCAACATCTTGAAAATAAATTAATCTGTGAAAATATGTTTTGGATTTGAATAAAATTTTAATTCCCTGATAAGTTGTCAAAGACACATTTGCATTATGATTTCATAAAGATTAATATGTTTGATATAAATTAATCTATCCAGGAAGTATTAAGGATTTGAATAGAATTGTAATTCCCAGAGGATGTTAAAAATGAAAAATTGTGTTTATATTAAGAAGTCAAACAAAAGGACATAACAAAATTTTAATTTATGCAGTATAACACAATTTTAGTAAAAGAGAAAAGTCAAGAACAAATACTTAGTCAAAATTCTGAGTCAAAAAGAGCATGATTCTCAAATGAGCTTATAAAGTATCATTTTAGTTTCTAACCAGTTATTTTATGTTAATGTACTGTCCTATCTTCCTAATTTATTTCCCTGCCAGAATATAAATTTCCAGCACACATGATATTCAAATTAGATAGAAAAAAGGAAATAATTAAAGGAAGGTATTGGAGGGGGGGGGAATCAGAGCATATTCTGCCTGCTTGAAGGCCATGTTGCTAACTTTGATTTTCTAGAGATCAGTATTCTGCCTCATTCAATTATTCTTTCCATTAGGCATGTTTACATTGACTTCGTTCAGAGCCAGCTTGTGCGCTAATTATATTGTGAAGCCATTAGGCTATACTTTATACTTATATTAATTTTAGTTCATTTATTTTCTTTGATTTAAAGCAAATGCTATTGACTTCTCTAAGCATAATTTGGTGCTGTCTTAAACTTTATGTGGAGTAATAAAAGATCCTTTATACCCTTTCCTTGTCTTAGAGATAAATTATAAGACACGGTGAAATGTCTTTTAAGCCCCATTCACATGCAACGCTTCTTCGCACAGTTGCCGTTAGCAAGAGGAGAAAAAGGAGACATGAAAGAGCTTCATCTTTAGGACCCGTTCAGAAGACCACCGCCTTCCTTCCCTTTGTTTACACCTAAGCCTCTGTGAGCAATCACGTCTCTGAACTGACAGATTTCTAATACTGTTTACACATTTTTAACGTTGTTTACTGTTTTTAATTTTGTAATCTGTACTTTTGCAACTAGTACCTGAACTTTCGTAATGGTTCCTGAAAAATATGTGCTTTTTAATTATTATTATTATTATTTTATGAGCTGTTATTTAGTTCACTCTTGGTGCTTGTCGCTATAGTTAAAAGATGGTCATGGATTTTTAAACTGCTTCCCAGTAAGAAATAGAACTCAAACTTTGTACATACACGCTTGTGGATGTGGTGTCACGCTTTTGATTTTTAGAGGATTAGATTTTTTTCAATTTAAGTTGAAACGATTTTTGCAAATATTAACAAATAAACTGAGAATCTCAGAATATTATAATTTGCACCATAACACATTGTGGAGGAAAAAAAAATAAATGAAATTTTTAGTGTAATATTTTTTAAAAATATTTTGGGAGAATTTTTGAAAATCGTTCATATTTTTAGACTTTTTGATGCTCATTAATTTTTAAAATTTCATATCTAAAAATATATCGGTTACAAACTTCCGACATTTTCACAGCTTATAAAACAAACTTTTCGCATTTAAAAAAAAGATGAAGGAAATTAATTGGATGATATTTTTTTTTTTACTTTTTTGAAAGATATGCAATGAAGCAGAATGGGAAATATTGGTTCTTCTTGGGCATCAATTCAAAACATCGGTTTCAAAGTAATAATCTCATTATACCACACTATTTTTATGACATTATTTATGCTATATAAGTTGTTATTGTTGCCAGTTTTTAGTTCAGTGTGAGATTGGAGATATTTCTGAGTTAACTTTCTCTTAAGATGCATTTTGCATTCCGTTGTGTTTAACGTTCTTATTAGATTGAAGCATAACTACTGATTACACTTAGTGATATTCTAAACACTTGTACCAGTATTTCTGTAGAAAATTCCAGAACTTTGAAGTGTTTCTGTTGATAAAATAAATTTAATTAGGCTATCATCGGATTTGAATGCAATGACAATCATTTACGAACTATTATCAATCTATTACAAACTGGTATGCACGCAACAATATTATAATTAATTAATGTATTAAAATTGTTTTGAACATGTTTTACAAAACAAAAACAGGTAAAGAAAAATTCTGCTTGTGTTTTATGAGTTTTTACAATTTTTCTGGCCACATAAGGTTTTAAAAAGAGGTTTGTAATTTATGTTTATATTTACCAATTGAATAAATAGCACTAGATTTGATTTATATATCTATGTGTATATTGAAATTCAGTAATAAAATTTTAAAGATTTGAAATGATTAAATGTCTATTTAGACAGTTTGTATTCTTTAAACTGCAAAAGCAAACTGAGAAACTTTTGCATTTTTTTCAATAAATCCTTTTACTTAAAAGTCCTAAAACATATACAGGTATGGACTAATTTTTTTTATTATTTTTACCTCTTATTTAAAATTATATACTTTATAGAAACAAGGATGGGTTTTGCAAAATACTGAAAGAAAAAATTATTTGAAATGAAAATGTGACTGAGATCATATTTGTTTTAAAGATTTTAGATAAAATTGTATTTTATTTTTTTCTCAGAAACTAATTCATTAATTGCAAAATCATCCCTTGAAGTTATTAAGAACACTGTAATAAATACAGTAAAAAAACTGGGGGGAGACATTGAAAATTATAGGAGAAGAAAAACATTTTAATTGTAGAATTTTTCTTCAAAAATTTTAATTAAAAAAATTACTAGCAAAAACTTTTTTTCAACTTAAAATGATTTTGTCTCACAAAACCATTTAATAATATTCATAAAAAAGTAGATGAAAATGCTTAATTTTTTTAAAAAATAATTATTCAAAAGATACTGAGTCCCTTGTCGTGTTGAAGCCGGTATGCACTTGTCTTAACTTTAGTTTTAATTTGAACAATATTTCTGGAATACCTAGATAAACCTTGTCTGTATTTGTTTATATTTCCGTATCTTTAACAGTTCTATCTAATTTTTGGGGGGATGTTATCACATCCTCAGACATCTATCAGCACGATTGTTTCGCTGACAGTCCAGCGAGCAGTAACTAAAATTAAGTGAACCGTGCAGTATAGTACGGGAAATCTCCCCATTTGTCCTGCTCCCAAGAGGTAAGGAACATTCAACCAATTTGGCGAGGCAGTTAATGCTTGTCCTATGTGAACGGGACACGTTGGAAGAACCGGTTTTCGCTACCAGTCGAATCTGCTCTTGTGAACGGGGCTTTAGAGTTCTAGTCTTATTGTATGCCACCTAAGAAGGGTATATCTTAAAGCTTTATGGAAAAAAAAAATGAATTTATAAACTTACCTTAGCTCAAAGCAGTGATTCTCAAAATTTTTGTCTGAAATTTAAATTGAATTACACATTAAACTGAATATCTTTTATTGAATAACATATAATATGGATTTATCTTATTTTAATCAGTAGTTTTACTTATGCAAGTATTGTTATTATCATTGTTGTTAAATGTTAATATTCATGTAATTAATGCAAAGTCTGTTTTGGTATATTTTGTATACTTTATCAGCATATAATCTTATGGCTGGCTGGCAGACTAAGACACAAATTCTCTTCATAGTATGTCTGTCAGTTTCTCATTAACACTCTGACTGCTAAATTTGTGGACCGAAATCACTTCCAAAATTGTGGGTTTTTTTTTTTCCATATTTTAAATCTATATATATTGGAAAATTGAAAAATGCACTTTTTCTTTCTAGAAAATATTTTTTATTACGATTTTTATCATGAGAAACTAAGTTGCCAGAAAAACCAATTTCAGATGTTATCACAAAAAAAAAAAAAAAAAAAAAAAAACTTTTTAAAAATAAATTTCAGTCAAATTACAGTTAATTTCTGTTTATTGCATAATATAAAAAAAGTAAAATTTAGAAAAATATCAAGTGCTGAGGGAAAAATATCTTAGAAATGCAGTTTAGCATGATAGAGTTTAAAACAGAGTTCAAGGCAAAGTCTAACTTCACAATCTTTGCGCCAGATTCAATAAATCTAATTATTAATCTAATTAATAATTCAATAATTTAATTAAATAATCAAAATAATCGCTGAACATTTTCTAGCAGCCATTTATGTAAAAAAAA